GACAGTATTCTAAGGGACCAACGGGGGATAGCTGGCTAGGCTATATCTACCTTAGGTACTGAAGTTTCCTATTTAATTTATATTCCCTTAGAGGAACTACCAAGGGTCGCACTACAATATATATATATAACACTTTAGGTTAACAACGATATAAATAAATATTTATTAAGCAATTGAAATATTAAATAGATAATACAACCTGCTGGACACCTAGAGATGTTATAATCCAACAGGGAGCTGACGGCGACACACACACACACTATAATATACGGGGGTAGCGAAGTTAAGTTAATTATCAGACNAGTTAATTATCAGGCAAAAGTAGTGATCGCGAAGATGGTAAAATGTCAACTGTCGATAGGGATATCTTATTATGGCACATTGGCCGTGAATTGCAAAAAGTGTTTATGTGTGCAGTCCGCCCTCCTGTTAGTATTGTTGTATGTCACTGTGTTAATTATATATATATATATATATATATGTCTATGTCTATTAAACGGTACAACGATGTTATGGAAGACAGAGATATGGGCACATGCAAATGTGATCGTATCAATTCATTAAAAAAATATATAGATACACAATAATGCACCGAAGTCCTGGGAAGGTTAATGATACATTAACAGAAAAGCCCTTTTATAGTTTTAAACGACAAACGATCTTTTTTACAATCTTTTTTTGTACAATTTTGTGTTTTTAGCTTCTATGTGAATTTGAGAAATTTTCGTTTTACTATGATGTGCGTTTTTTTTCAGATCTCACTGGATTATTAGCGCAAAAAATTTGAAAAAATCATCTCAATTTTAAAAATTAAAAAAAAAATCTCAATATTATGCTATATTATTTTTCTATGGAAAACATCGCTACCATAAAAAATGATGAGCAAAAAAAATAAACCATAAAATCTCTGTCACTATTCATAACATCCCACTGTACAATGTTACATACCATTGATGTTCTTAAAACGTTTCATGGGAACGTGTAACATCCCATACATTATTACTATGATATAAAGGCGATGTCCCTGAGCTTGTTAATAACCGTTTTTTTTCAACACTTATAATATATTTAAGGTTTGTTATTTATAAGCATTACTAGTATGTTTCCTTCAAACATTGTATACACATACCCTAGAAACATTGTGTGTATGTTTGATTGGGATATTACCGAAACATTTAAAGATTATGTCGTCGTAATATGCTAGATGTACATACAGTAAACAATTCTTAAATCTTTTAATAAAATGTTATAACTGTGATGTATATTAAAAAACAAAAATATAACATTAATGGGATATTTTATCCAGGCTTTAGTAGTTAGAACTTTTTTATCTTTTTTAGTACATTAAATACACCCTTAATTTGTATTAATTATGTTTATTGAAACAATAGGTGTTATTAATATATAAATAATAACTAAGACTAAATATATAACCACCACACAAAAACAACATCACTTGAAACATATTATATAATTGAACAAGTTAAAGAACTATAAAAATAATGTAAATTAAAAACAAAATAAAATATACCAGCAATAAACGTCGAAAATAAATATAACTATATTAAACCATGTATGTATGTCAATATTATACAAATTATTAAAATAGTATCACAATATATTGAAATTATATGAAACATTATAGTAGACTATTAAATCTAATAAATAGTACACATACTTATAAAATATAAAAATTATATACCTACTTAATTAGTAATAATACATATATAATGAACTTTAAAAAAATATATACAAAAATGAATGCATTTTGAATAATTAATAATTTATACCAAAGCTTGTGTTAATAAGTTAATTTAATAAGGTATTTCTGAAAGTGAATGATTTAAAGTTGATATAACTGCTTGTTCATTAGATATACGAATAAAAAAACATTTGTATTTTATATCAGAAATATGAATTGACAAATTATTAGATAAATTATTAGTATTTATAGTATATAAGCCAAATATGGTAGATACAATAGGCTCAGTAAAAATTGGAGATGGATTTAAAAATTTTTGAACAATTAATATAAAAGATGATTCATTTTTTGGTTTAACAATGTGGTTAACCATAACAATGTCACTATTTTTTAATATTATATATTTATCACGTTCATTGCATGTATTAATAATTACTTTTAGATCTTTTAAAATTATTTTTTCATATAATTTATCATCTAAACTAAAGTAAGGAGTAGATGTGTTAATAATCTCTTTAAAAGTGACAATAGGATCAAGAATTATACTACTGGATATTAAATGTTTTTGTTTTTCAATAACTCTATTAGTTACTTCTGAAAGAGGATATTTGGCACTTTTTATTGATTTTTTTATGTATTGTAAATAATTTTCAAATTTAGAGCAACTAAAATTATCAAAACAGCCATGAATTTTAACATACATAGGAAGATGTAATAAGCTATGAACATTATAAGTCACAGAATGAGCCCCATACAAAGAAGAGTACTGAGAAACAAATTCATTCAGTAAGTTTTGAGCTAAATCATTTGAAGTTTGACATATATCAGGAGATATCAAAATTCTTACTGCACATACCAAGAGTTTAAAATGAGAATACTTTAATTTATTTAAATTTCCTTTTAAAACTATTAATCCTGAGTGTAGAACAAACATTCTTAATTCAGTAGCTTTATAGTATTCTATACTATCTAATTCTCTAGGCAGACGACTAAATTCAGATGGGACATACAATCGTAGATTCATCAAATTATTAGATATTTTAACTTTATTTTCCTTAGCTAATCTAACGTCCTTCTTACCTTTAACCCAAAACTCTAACAAACATTTTGTTACACCCAGGCAAACATTATGCATATAATCAAGACACACATCGTTAATTATATTTATAGGTAATAATTCAAGAGGGCTACTACCTTTATGATATTCTTCCTGTGTTTTAGAACGAAATGATTCATCGGTTCTAAGAGGCGATTCTATTTCTAAAAATGACATTCTATTATTTATGAACGAACCTTCCTGAGTACATGAAGTACATCCAAAATAAGCATTAAATGATTTCACATTAAGTACAAAACTTTTAGCTGGAGAATCAAAAATTACATGACCAACACCAAACTGATACAAATTTCCACCGATAGTTAAGCCATTATTTAATAATATTGAAAGATCTGTAATAAATGGATTTAAAAATTCATGAATTGACTTTGGTTTGGTATTTCCATGGAATATTCCAATTGGAAGTACATATTCTGATAATAAGTTACAATTTGTAAATGCAATTAAGATTGGCCAAAGTTGACTCTTCGAACTTCTTGATAATGGTAGACCATCCAAATTAATACCAATCTTTAAAACAATATTTGGGGTATAGATTAAATTATTGTATTTTTTTAATAAAGGAGATATCATGTTTTCTAAGCCTAAATGAATATAAGACCCATGACCTATATTTGAAATTATGTGCGTTTTAGGAGTTTTCATTAGAGTTCGAATATCTTTAGGTACATTAATACCAGCAGAATTAATTATTCTAAGTATACAATTTGCACTATTATGAGATACTTTAAATTTCAATACCCAAGACCTTAATTCATCTTCAATACTAAATGATACATCCTTTATTAAAGAATTATCTTCAGAATCCACATTAACATTTGAAAAATAAATATCATCTATATCACTAAAATTTCCAGAACACGATTCATTATCAGGTACTGATGTAACTAAAGAATTTTCTATTACATTAAGAGACTGTGATATAGAACTATAATTAACATCTAAATTTGAATTCATACCAAATTCTAATATTGGATGTGTAGGCATATTAAAGTTATTTGATTTGTTTGAAGACGTTGTGAATTTCTGTTTTTCCAATTTTAACATTTGTCTGAAGTATCTAGTTGTAACTTCTCCTAAACATTTTTTTTTTCTACTAATTTTCTAAAATAAATAAAGCTAGATAAAAAACTTTAATTATTTATTTATTATATATTATAGATAATGTATCAATCTAAATAAAGAAATAAAAATGGTACTTTCTTAAATATAAATAAAAACTTTTTATAAATATTATTTTAAAACTGTAATTATAAATGTATATAAAAAAAAAAACAAACACATATAAAAAATTATATTGTCACTCGTTTAATTTGTCCCCTTGTACTCTTGTGTTAGTACGCCTAAGCCATTCTGCAATTTCTATTTCTACATCAGAGTTTGTCATGGGCTTTTTGGCATTATCTTTAATAACTTCTACAAGAAAGAAGTAAAACAAAATAAACATTCACAAGACTATACACAGTGGAACAAATCTAACTGACAACTCTTATAACTTTTGACATAGTTAACGTTTTAGCTATATATATTTTTTTAAATAATTTATGCATTCATAAACTATGTTAAAATTATAGCCATATGTTAATTGAAGTTATAAGATTTGTCAGTTAGATCTATTCCTCACTGTATAATAAATTGTAAAATTACTTGTAAGTATTCTGATTAATTCAGAATCTCCTACTTTAGTAATTATATTTTTTCCACGACCAGTCCACGTACATTTACCAGCATATGAATTAGTAAAAAGTTTGGTCAAAGACCTTCTTATATGTTCTTTGCCATCCCTTCCTCCAATTGATCTAATAAAATATTCCTACAGCAAAAACTCAAATTTGATTTAATTTGATAAAACTATGAAATATTTATTATATTTTTGTGAAAATGTTGACTAGATTTAGTCATTAAATCTTCTTTACTCATATTTAACCAAAGTTCTAATTACCAATTTTGAAACAAAATCAATTTCATTACTAATGCAAGTTTCAATCAATAAAAATCCTTCAACATTATCAATGGGGAATTTTGATAAAAATGAATTGTCTAACAGAGCATTTTTATTTTCATTTTTATGTTTAGACAAAATTTTTTCAATGTTTTCTACTTTTAATAATATTCTATTTAACATCATGTTCATTGTTGGATCTGTAGAAGTATACACAAAAAAATTTAAGCTAAAATGAAAAATGTATTTTACAAACAAGGTGGTTTGCTATTTTTACAATCACAAATAATTCTAAGCATTATTTTTTAATAACCCCAATGTATTCATGCCTAAGCAAATTGTATTTTTATAAAAGCACCACTAGATAGGTAAGCCCTCTCCATAAACTGTATGTAAATCAATAGAAAAATTTAACTAATTTCTATGGATTTATTTAAAGAAAATAATTGCATACCTATTATATTCTATATATATATATATAATTATAATATGTAATATTAAATAAATATTACCGTAGTTTTTTTGTTGGAGAACAGACTGATTTAAAGTGTTCATTGTATTTGATGACTGTTAATTAAAATATGAATATAAAAGTATAATCAAAATTCTAAAATTATTCTTTTTTTAGATTGACACATAAAACTTTAAATTTTTACCTTACAGTAATTAATTTTTTCCATTTAATATACCTGTAATGAGAAGTCCGTTGTAGAACAAATATGTTTGGGTTCTGGAGGCATTAACTCAGAGAGTTGTTGATAGTTGTCTTTTTCAGTTAATGAACTACAAGATGCTATAGGTTCAACTGATGTATCAGTGGCTGAAGATGTTGATTGGTTAAGTAAATAAGACATTCTATTATCAGTTTCTAAACTTGAAACTATTAGAGCATTACTATTTGATTTTACAAACAAAGGTTTGACAATATTCAACGTGGCAGATGATGACTGAGCCATTATATTATAACTGTTATCTAAACAAATTAATTAATTGAATTAAAAATTATATTATTATACAATACTAATAATTATATGGTTTATAGCAATATAATAAAATTATTCATAAAATATGTACTTAAAAAATACAATACACATTATATTTTTGGTTTGACAGTATTGTTAAAGTTATGTTAATTTAAAAAATTACCATTGTCATTGTCACTTTCATCAGTTACATTAAACAATACATTTTGTGACATAAGCTTTCCTTTTTGTTTATGTCTTAGAGTCATATTTTCTTCATTGCCTGTTTCATTAGATGAATCTTCAATAATAACTTGTTGATGCCATGCTTTATTAAAATTATCTGTAAAATAGTTATATATTAGTTATATTTAAAAAAAAATAGTTGGTATATAGATGAGCTAAAAATAATCACTAGACATTATATAAATATGTATTAATTCTTACCAAAAGTTTTATTTCCACCATAAATTTTTACTCTATACATTTTCCAGGTTAACCCCGGCTCATCTGCTTTTTGTATAACATCACTGTTAACAGTGCCTGGAGGCCAGTAGCAATAATTTACTTGAGTTAATTCATTTTTTGTGACCCAATTCGTTGGTACAACACTATATTCATTGTGCTCAGGGAACAGCACAATAAGCCATTTAAGGGAAACCTATATAAATATTTTATAATTCGTTAATTTAATATCTTAAGTGTACATCAGACACCAATTGTTAATATTATTGACAAAATAAATTTAAAAAAACATTAAATGTTTCTTTAAATACGTTTATAAATTGTATTAAATAAATTTTTAATACTTCATTTATGTCACATCATAAAATTTAAAGTTGGTATTTGTAAGAGTTATTTAAAAAATACTGACCACTTTTTAAATTGATTAATAAGTTGCAATCCTTGAAATTTTACACCACTGAATGTACTTATATAACAATGTTATTAAGTGTGGATGCAGTATTATAACAAGTGTAAATAAGTAGATTGTATAACTTACCTTTTTTGTTTGTTCAGCCATTATTAAAAAATATAAGAAAAAATAATAATTATAATTAAACACACTTAATAATAATTAAAAACACTTAATAATAATTAAACAAGTATACTGTCTAACATAAACAATTGTAAGATTGTCCATAACATAACATCGTGTCTACTACAGAGTTGTTGGTCGTTTGTGGCCGATCCCTTAAAATAAAAGATAAAGACATACGTCACATGGGTTTTTGGATTTTCCAGGTATTGATAGGCAATTACAGTGTCGTATGACAAAATATTTTGTTTTTTAATATATATTTCTAAAATTAAATTTCCAAGCAATCGTTTATCATAATTATGATAATAGAATGCTATTAATACATAGTGTAATATTTCGGAGGAACGTAGTATGTATGTTACATTCGTACCAAATTTGTACTAAGTCAAAATGATATCACATGGATATTTCCTTTGTACTTAATTTGTATTAACTTAAAAAAACAACCATATAACAGCTTATTGATGTTTCAAAGTGATGTTACGTATGAAACACTAAAAAAATGTTCCCCCGACGTACTGAAACATTAATTGTACAGTGGGTAGGCTAGTAAAATTCGAGATGGGTTCTTTAAGGTCGTGGGCCCACGAGTGTAAGCTCTTAATCCGGTTTGAATGAAATCCACCCATGTAAAAATAAATCGTCCGATAAAATAAAGTAAATTTATTAATACATTTGATTTTTAAATTTTCCTGTCGAGCCTGTGCTCATACATTCGCATATGCTACAGAAAACAGTTGACACGGTACCACATATTAGCATTACGCTTATTATACTTATATCTTATTTCTCTCATCAGTCGTTTTATTACATCGCAATTCAATCCCGATTATAATATCCCCGCTTTTTAACCAAGTTGCAAAGTCCATCTGCTGAACCACGAGCGGCGACAGCGAAAGCTCTCTCCAATTTTTGACGACTCACGCGGAACATCAAAGTTTTTTTGACAGTACATATATTATAAACCAGTAAGTACTTAATCATTTAAAAATGTATTAGTAATACAAAAGACTTAATAAATTAGTTAATAATTAGTTGACCTAATAAAAAAGCTAAATATGCTCCTACAAACTTTAAAGAATGCTATTTCTGTGTTAAAATTGTCGATTTTGTATTTTATTTTATTTTAAAATACCTAAGAAAAGTTTTTCTTATGGTTTGATATGATAATAGGTTTCAACTACAAAATTAAATAATTTTACTTTGTAATTTATTAATCTTTTAACTTTATTTGTGTGTTACTACCAGTCAATAATATTTTAAATTTTTTGGTAACATTTTACTATATAAATCATGTTTCACACAATTACGCAGTGGAATAAATAAGTATGCTATATTTTAACAATCAGCTTATAATAATAACAAGTTTGGGCGTCCCCTACTTTAAACAATGTTTCATACAAATAAATTAAATATATATACAAAAATATTTTGATTCGATCCGACCTGATTATTGTTCTCTTCACCTCTTGCTAAATATTGTCAAGTCGCCGATGCTTATTCGATCCGCTATATGATAGTCACCAAATTCCACCGGTACATCAATTGTACACAAACCCAAGGCGAAGAAACTCTTCGAAATGCGACCCTCGAACCGTTGCAATAATAATAATAATAAAATAAATAACCGACAACGAACAACACAATCACCGCTGTGACTTAATAATCCGAGCGAGCGACATAAAAAAAGCATGTGCTCGGGCAAAGGCGTAAAGCATTTGAGTAAATGTATTTGAATAAAAGTATTCAAATACTTTCATTGGTATTGAATAGTATTTTTAAATACATTTAATAAAAAGTATCTGAGTAGTATTTTAAATACAATTAATTAGTATTTAATACTGTTTAATATTCAGTACTATTAATATACTTTTTTTTTTTTAATTTGCTAACCGTAACACAGCAACCAAATTAAACTCAGTCAAAATGAAAATTGAGAATAATTCTCTGTTATTTTATATGTTACATTATAGTATAACATAATTATTGTGCTTATCTAAATGCTATTATGTATACATCTATTTTTAATACATCAGTTGAACCTACAATAGCCTATTGCAGGTTCAAATGATTTACTCTATTGTCAATAAGACATACTTTACAGGTTTTTACACGTGTACTAATATTTATTTTTTTCACTGATTAGTCTCCAATAATTAATTTTATTTACCTCTAACAAAAAATATCGAAAATAATAAATGAGTTCTCTTAATTTAAGAGTACACAATATTTGATTTAAATTACCCTCTTGGTAATTATTTNTTTTTTGGTAACATTTTGCTATATAAATCATTTCTAAGAAAATTATTTTTAATTTCACGTGAATTTAACAATGGATTTTTACAATTATAACAAATTTTATAATACGCTCAATTGAGTACATCTTTTTAACAACTTTCTTTTATTGTTTTTTTAGTTTAAGTAAATCATTAAAATTAATTCAGTTATGCATATTTCAACTGTAGAATCTTTTTAAACACCAAAAGTTACTAGAAAATTCAGAACTATTTTCCTGTAAGTTATATCCTAAAATTGTAACCAATTAGTAATAATATCAAAAATTATTGGTGTTAGAAAAATTTAATTGCTAATTTGAAATTACCACGAAACATTAAATAATAAAATTATATTTTTCACTCTGATGAAAATTTTTTGCAGGCCATTTATTTATAAGTAACAACAAGTTATTATCTAAAAAGTTTTGTGTCAAGCCCTTCAATTTTTATACACGTTTGGATAAAAGTTATAACTACTTTATAATTTTTATTAATTTATTAATTCTCCGAAAAAATTACAATACTAAATGATTAAACATCATTCCCATATTATATTTAATTGCTTACGATAAATATTTATTCATGTTCTAAATCAAAAAACTACTAATCAGGAATAATAAAGGAAATACAAAATCACATTGTTTATGGTTTAATCCACCAACTTCCTAAAATTAAACACTTATCTAAAGATTTGCATCGATGCGTTTTTAACACGCTTATATTAGTTTCACGTGTATGTTTGTTGTTTGTTGTTTGTTGTTTGTTTGTCGTTTGTAAGTTTGTAACTCCACGCAGCACGTGTTATTATGTCGCGTATCCCGTCGTGTATGACCTTGAGACTATACTGTTGTAATGCATTCGCCCCACCCCGCTCACCACTCGTAGACAACAATATTTTCTAACCCGTAGACGCGCGCGTGTCATCAATTATGTATATATATAACAAATTTTTATTGTAATTGACACGGCCCGCGTCGTTTCATTATACACAATGCCCCACGACTCGTGCCACCTTTATCAGCCGTCGCCCTATTATGAGTATTTGACTGACCAACACCTCGCGTTATACTGTGCAAAGTCCAGCAAGCGCCGCACGCCCGACGACATTCCGCCGCAAATGATACCGTAGTCTTCTTCCCGTTGTCAAAGTGACAACGTCTACGATTCGATCCGCACTCGCGCGCCGTCGCTATCAACGCTGCTAACCTGTTGACGTCCGAGGAACAC